AGGACACGCTGGAGGGACTATGTCTCTCGGCTGGCCTGGGAACGCCTCGGCACTCCCCCGGAGGAGCTGGAGCAAGTGTCTGGAGAGAGGGAAGTCTGGGCATCTTTGCTTAGACTGCTGCCCCCGCGACCCGGTCCCGGATAAGCGGAGGAAAATGGATGGATGGATGGATGGATGTTAATGGCAAAGTAGTGGCACTGAGGGGCCTTGTGGTAGTAGAACGATTGAATAGTTTCAGTGCAGTTATTACAAGGAAGTTGTCAATAATAGCTGAATGCAGTGGCGGAGTTCTCTCCTCCTACCTGGAGCAGCTGAGCCCTGGGGATGACCAGGAGCAGATCCTCCTCACCGTCCTCCTCATCCCGTTCCTCCTTCAGAGTCTCCAGCTCTTCCAGAGGCTTGGGAGCACAGAAAGTGAAGGGACGACTACAGGCACACACCTCTCCCATCTTATCCACATACACAAACTGGTACTCCACGGTACTGGGCTGGGGCAGGTAACATGCTATATCAAATAGCATGTTGTACTTTAATTATTCTTATTGTCTTCTTTAAAACTGAGCCAAACAATTTTCTAATTAGACCTGAAAGACCTGTACAAATTAAGTTACATTTAATGTGAAAATGAGTCAAAATTTGCAACAAAAGATTTGATTATAGCCCCAAACAATAACCCGACTATGTCATTCTATATTGCTATTCTGACATAATACACAACCATCGATTGAAGAGCTAAACAGCTGCTGAACGCCTGGTTTTTGCTGACCTCCTGTGGTTAAGGGGCAGATCTATAAAATTTTGGGTGTGGTATATTTGAAACACATAAAAAGTTAATTGAACCCCTAGTTCTGTAAAATGATCAGACATACATTAACAAGAATACTTTTGGTTATCTGTGTACAAATGAGACACACTGTTTTTTTTGGCTAGCATTGATTTATTTACTGCCAGCCAGGGACATTGCCACTGAAAACAGTGCCACCCCTGGCCACCCGCTGGATCTGCCTGTGCTCTTGCTGCAGTGATGTAGAACAGTACTCTAAGGCGATTTAGTACACCATGACATCACTACTGGGTGTAGTTACAGGTGCAATAGAGCACATCGTGGTCCACACCCATCAGTGATGCTCAAAGCTATCAGAGGTGCAACAGACTTAAAACTTTAAACTAGAAAAGGTCACCTTTGAACTGAAGAATGGGGAGACTGTGTCATATTTTAAAATGTCTGGCTGAACTCTTACCATGGAAAAGTGAACAGCAGTTGACACTGGTTCCTTCAGTGTAGCCATCAGGAACGAGTGCCCACGTATATGTGTAATACAGTTTAAGCGAAGACCACCCCATCTGTGGCATGACAGCAAACACATTCAGAGACACGTAGAAATGCACATCTCTATCACTACTGAATTACAGACTTTATTTTACTAAACCGGAGGTAGATGTTGCTACAGTGAGTGAATCTACCTCAAAAATCCCTATCCAGTCACTGCTGCTCCACTGATGCTCAGAGCTCAGACTGTAGTGGCACTCCACTCTGGTCTGGGGGAAATACAGCTGCCCCACATTTCGAAACACCACCGCGGCCTGTTTATCCATGGTAATAGGAAACTGTGCTGTTTAGGAAGAAAACATACGTGGATCCAGTGAAGCATGCTCTGGTTTCAGTCTGGAGAACAGCTGGTGAAAGTCGAGAGCAGTGAGTCCAGGAATGCAGTGTGGTCATAACAAGAGTTGCCTATGTAAGCTCACGTACCTTCTGTGTGCTGAGGTTATACCATGTAATCTGAGAAAAAAAATTTAGATATTGAGAGGAGCACTGTATACAGTAACACAATAAGTTAGTACTTTACACCATAAATTAACAATTTGCTCATTTTAAAGTACAGTGCTTTGTCAACTAATGGCTAAGTATTGAAACATTTTTTTATGTAATAAAAGGAAGACTTTAAGCTAAATTTACAACCAAGTAAGATTTCACTTCAATGCGTGCTGTTAATAAAAAAAACATTTATAGCTCACTTGTTTTTCTTACAAGTTAACCGTTGCCATTTGTTTTTGTTAAGTGCAGGTCTAACTGCTATAATTAAGTCTTTTTAATGTCTTTCTAGGAACAGCTGATAATTGTGTGCTTGGATTTAATCAATTCTGTGGTGTTGTATTTAATCTTACCCGATTCTGCTGAGAGATGAACGTGATGTCTCTTCTGCTGGATCATGCAGGACAGATCTGTAGATTCATCTGAAGATAGTGATCAGTCCTGTCAGGTGCAAGAGTTTCACAATATCTCCTGAACCATGTGGTGACTCATGGGAGATGCAGTTCATGAGCACATAACTTATCATATGGCAAAGCAGTGCTGCAGACTTCATGTCCCATAGTTAAAAGGACACAGGATCTGCTGCTGGTTGTTGTTGTTGTTCATTGCAATTCTCAGTAATGTTAGTGGAGGGGGGGCAGGATCCTCACAGCTAAACAGTTCTCTTAAAAACAACACTATCCTGATTCATTCATCCAGCTCTGTAAAAACAGGCCCTGACAGACTTGAAAAATGATCAACAGTGTTTGGTTTGAAACTCATCAGCGGTAACTTGGAGACAGCTTAGACACACAACACTAAGCTTTTTTTCTTATAGTTTATCTCTGATTGTGTAAGAAGTGTGGTCCCACTTGTGAACACTTTTTACATGGCAGTTCACATTCAACAAGTGATGGTTTGGGTGTGTCTGGGGATTCACATGGTCAAAAATATTTTTCACAGCACACACACATTGTGACTTGTCACAGCAGCAGCAACAGTATAAGTGATGGCTCTGCTCTGCTCTGCTCTGCTCTACTCGCATATCCCAGTGCCCCAGCATGCACAACACTATGACTCTGACACTGGAGAAGCTACATGAATTCAGCCATTATTTTTAATGTTATGTCTACTGGGATCTGTCAAGATGTTTTCATGTCTCCACCAGCAGGTGAAAATATCCACTTGTCCAACACTGCATGATAACTTAAACTCCTTCCTCTTCAGCTTTAGCATTTTATAACATTTTGCATGATTCAATGGCATGCTAAAGGTTAGCATTTTTCCATGCTAACATGCTAAATATTTGCCTTTGTTGTCAGCAGGCCTTCGTCTTTGCAGTATAAGGGAAAAAAAATTCATAATTCTGTATTAACTTAAACAGGAAGCTCTTGGTCTCAAGGGTGCTGAAGAGAAATTCACAGAATCGGTAAAACTCGGGGGAAAAGTGTGTGTAAATGAATAAAATACATTATCAAAATAAATTACAATTGAAAAGAACATTTAGGAAAACAAGGGAAGTGTAGTCCTCTAAAACAGTTTTTAAACAGCAGACCTATAGTTTGTAATGTCAGACTTGTTTCTCAGCTCTGTAGCATCACTGGTCACAAGCTACAGAACACCTGTAAAATATGCACTTATTTTGCTTCCTCAGTTGAAATGAGAGTTCACATTAGTCCACATGCTGACATATTCATTTTAAGAACAGACCTCTTTATAAAATAATTTTACCAAGTTTGACCAGCAGGTTTACCTGATTTAAACACTTAAACATTTAATGTTCACAATCATTCACAATACATTCAATATGTAGCACCTTATAGGTAAATTAGTGTAGAAATATTTTCAGAAAAATGGCCCTGAACCTATTACCATGCTCCATCCTCTGAACTATACACAATGCCCATCTCACATTGAAAAGACAGACTGTTCTTTTAACAAGAAGAAAACATGCAGGACAGAGTCGGCGTACGCGTCTTAGAGTTGTTTGAAGCTTCTGTCAGTGAAGAGGAAACCTTTGCTCAGACACACTTGCTGACGTGAGGGCAAAGTGGGCCTGCACCTGTCAGTAGTGCAGTGTAGCACTGATCAAATCACACAAATTTAATCTTGCAGTCCCTGAGTCTTTTACTTGAACTCCTCTGATTAGTTCATGTGTTGCTCAGCAGCGATATAACACCCAGATCTGCCAGTTTGGCTTTGACTGCTTCCTCCCAGCCCTTATTGGCCAGTGGGTTCCTAGGCGACGGATGCATGATGCCCTCAACTCGCACAGTGGTACCTGCAGCAATAAGAGCTCGCCGTGCCCGCTGCTCTGCCACCCTTCCAATCCCAATCACCATGGAGACGCCCAGTACCTCCACGGCCTGGCACAGTGCAATGTCACACAGGGCCAGGAGATGATCTCGTTCAGCTGCAGGCAGCTCAGGGGGAGTTAGATTCTTCCCACTGGCATTCATAAAAATCAACGGGCACAAGTTGTGCACAAAGCAGTGGCGGAAGAACAGGGCTGGCTCACTGCACAACTTTCTGAAGAAGCCCCAAAAACGTGCACCACTCACTTCACTCTGAGTGCAGGAAAGCCCTGTGATCTGGCGCTTTGGATGCTCATCAGGAGGATGTCCAACCTCCCCTGTGATCTTCAGCCAATCAACAACTGACTTCACTTCACCAAAGGGGACCTGTGCAAAGAAAAGTAGATGTATTAGTGACCTAGCATGCAGAAAAAAAGCAGCACTGGCAAATACAATACAGTTTAAACATTATCAAAACATTTTGGGACAGATTTAAGGACAGATGCTGGATCAACTGGCCCTGATGATCTTGGTTTCAAATGATAAAGTTAGTGGTGCATATATATATTCAAGTGCACCACAGAGCTGAGACACACTGACTGATGGTGTGGGGGACCCAAAGAACTGCCTCCTTTGTCCAGCTGGTAATTCAGTATGGATTTTAAATGCACAATGCACCACTGTAATTTGGTTTAATGATAAATTAAAAGGAACAAACATTAAACCCATTAATATTGCAAGCTGCTAGCTCTTATGTTTACATTAAAGAAAGTAAATGATAAAATACGAGGCGTCTCGTGGTTCAGCTGTTTGCCGTATGTAGAAACAAGGATTTATATTTTCTGTGCGTTACTACTAAAGTATCCGTGCTCCTGTGGTCTACCAGTTTAAACTTTACTAAATATATACGTGTCTAGATGCAGTACTCACCCCAGTCTGCGCCATGCCAAAAGGTCCTGGATTCATCCCCAAAAACAAGATCCTTTGTCCGCCATGACAGTACTTCTCCACGTAACAGCGGTGAGTGTCCCAGGCGTACTCCAGCGGGTTGTAGGTGTACCGGACGGGCTCGCTGAAGGACAGTCGCCGGAGGTGGGCGTTCAGCTCCAGTTCAACCTGCAGAAACCTGGAGGAGATGGAGGCGCTGACCTCTGGTACCGGTTTAAATCCCTGATCGTTTGATTCACACAAAGCCAACTCCTTCTCTGCATCTCCACAAGCGAGCTTCTCCGAGTCGTGTGCAGATGTGTTTCCATCTAACATTTTCGACTGTGGGCGTGTTAAACAAGTTCTGATTTGTCAAGAAAGAACGGCAACATTAATGCTACGTTTTACCAGCTTCTATGACATTTCTAAAGTATTTGACTTCTAAGATGAAGCTTGTTGTGGTTCGGATTATTGACAAACATAGTACTCCCTTCTTCGTTGTCTTCCTGTGAGTTCGTCATATGATCTCGCCAAATTCAAAGTGGCTACTGCCCTCTACAGCCACAGTGGTGTCATTACAGCCTAGAACAGCGATGCCAGGTGCATTGGACTGTGGATGTCAAGATATTTTATTAGTAATAGACAGAATGTACTTTTTCCCAGAATGCTTTTCACCGTGTTCATTTATATTTCTCACTATTAATTTTCTCTTTAAAATGTATCACCGTCATACACGAATAGGCAGTGGAGACAGTATTTTGGTATACAAAAATACAAAAAGCGGTAGTCTAACACTTTACTGCTGATACACATAAAATGTAAAGCTATCAATTTTCAATGCAAAACAAAGAAGGCTCCAATAAATCTAAACACAAAACATCAAAGTGTAACATTTCTCTTGTTTTCCATACAACTCAAAGTTGTGTGTCAAGTGACAGTAGCCAGAGCATTCGTATTGCATCAATATTACTTGGAAAATACATTCCTCTGTATAATTTGCTTGTGTTACTGCAGATACGTTCGCTACAAACAACGGTAGGCATAAATGCGCATATTACTAAAATGTAAACTTCTTTATTTGACATTGTGTCACTGAAAAACCATGGACCCTATGGGCTCTATTCTGTTTCTGGAGCTGGTTATTCCTGCTCTACCTGACTGCCACAACTGTCTCTGGCTGCCGTGTCCACATGAGACACGGGGCAGGAGGGGCAAAGAGGAGCACAGGGGTTACTGTTTGAGTTTGTTTTGACTCTCACTTCGCACTTAACAATCGAAAATTAGAAGAAGAAGAAGGTAGTTAATGCAGCTTTAATGGTGGCGTTTTTTTTCTCCTAAAACACTGTGATAAACAATTATGGTCAACACGCCAGCATAGTAGGTGGCGAAAATATATGTTAACATTGGATGCCATCCGCCATTAAATAATAATAATAAGAAGAAGTCACCTTTTGGTCCTCTTCCGACTACCGTAGCCGGTTCATCCTGTCTAGTATCTGAGGGCAGACGGTTCACTTCAACGTTGCCCTCACTTGGCTATCGCTATCGATAGCTATCGCTTTAGCAAGTCACAAAAATGGCGAACGTGGTGTTGGAGTTTAAGGCTTTTGCCGATGACTCCGAGGTACAGAGTCGTTCTGTCCTGATTATCGGGCAGCAGGCCAACCTGCAGCAAGTCAGCTGGAGCCAACTCAAAGGAAAACTGCAGCCACTCGTTAGCAAAGAGGTAATGCTATGAATGATAATGACAATTGGCTGACAGCTCACCTTACCATTACGCTAACTTAAGTTAGCGCACGCTAACGCAGCTAGCCAAAACATTTTAACGTTAACCACACTTAAACACGTGTTATTAACATTAACAGGGGTATAACCCTATCTAACTAACTAGGCCAATCAATCAGCACCAACAATTAACATTATTAGGGAGTCGTCAACATCTTGTTAGCGGTAGATTGTTTTTTATTAGCCAGTGGAATAATAATAGTACAACACCAATAGTGAAATTAAAATTCTGCAGTTTTAGGTTGGCTTTTGTCCCGGAACAATGTCAGACTACTTTACAACCCCAAATCTGAAAACGTTAGGACGGTATGTAAAATCAAAAGCTAAAAGTAGTGATGTGTAAATTATCTGTGTCTGATCCCTGCAACACATGCCAAAAAAAAGTTGGGACAGCAAAACATTTTTACCACGGTGTGGTGTTGCTGCTCCTTTTTCATTTTAGGGCTAGTAAAAGATAAAACAATGAAATGATGATGTCAACAGTTGGTTACAACTGAAAGGTCTTCTGGTCAGACCCAGACTAATATACTCTGTTCTTATGATGTCCTGTGGAGCTGTGAGCAATATGGAGTCATCTGTCATGCAAGGAGCTCAGAGGTGGTTGTGCAAAGGTGACAGCCAGCTTATAAAGTCCAAGGGGTCAATGAAAGGCTTCCAGTCATCCACAAGTCCTCTGACAATCATTGCTAACATGATTGTTACTCAACTGCTTGCAGTGCACTTATGTTTCCTGGGTGGTAGGCTGCTATTTTTTGCGGTCTGGAGACTTGGGTAACATTAAGAAGCTTGTAATTCTTGTAATATCACCTTGTCCACTTGCATATTGTCTGGTTTAGCTAAGATGTGAAAGCTGTGGTGTCTTTGTACTGAACCTAACATGTCAGTTTTGTCTTATGTTTTCTCAGATTTGGCAGGCGGCTCTCAGTGCTTTGAACCCAAACCCCACGGACAGTTGCCCTCTGCACCTCAACCATGCTGCAGTGGCTGCCCTTCCTTCACGGGTCAGCAGGCACAACAGCCCGTCATCTGCCCACTTTGTGTCCCGTCTGGTCCGCTCCTGCCTGCCTGGAGGGAACAACCGCTGCATTCTGGTCAGTATCTTCATTAGTAGTAATTCATTTGTTTCATGTAATAGCTAATTGTTCTCTCTTCTGGGAATTTTCACGGAGGTCAAAGAGCACTTTTAGCTACAGAGCAGAGCTAAATGATAGCCATCTTTTTGTGTCTCACTGTGGGACACTGACAGGACTTAAATTTGAGTCATCCAGTGGCAGAACAGCTACAGTCATGGCCAAAAATATTGTCACCCGTGCATTTCTGTCAAATAACACGTTGCTTCTCCCACAAAATTGTTGCAGTCACAAATTCTTTGGTCTTCCATCCATCCATCCACTTTCCTCCGCTTATCCAGGCTTTGGTCTTCTTGTTTATTAATTTATTTATTTATTTATTTATTGCATTGGAACAACACAAAAAGCAGAGAAAAAAGCCAAACCTTTGTGTCGTGTCAACTATACTGAGCATGGAGAAAAGAGTATAGTTGTGGGACCCAATAACAAGCTTCTGTTGTGCCCATCATATTTACAGTGATCATTTCAACAGGAAACTGCAGCTGTTTAATCTTATTAATGATGGTGCACCTAGTCTACCAAAGTCTTAAGGGTAATTCCAGTTCCCCCTGGGTCTCCTACCCCTGGTAGGAGACCCAGGGGGACCCCACTGCCGACACAGGAACATAAAACAGCCAGATTGGAGTTTGCCAAAACCTACCTGAGGAAGCCACAGTCCTTCTGGGGGAATGTCCTGTGGACAGATGAGACCACAAAAGAGCTTATTGGTTGAGTCCCTCATTCTACTGTTTTCAGAAAACAAAATGAGACCTTCAAAGAAAAGAACACGGCCCCTACAGTCAAACACAATGGAGGTTCACTGATGTTTTGCAGTTGCTTTGTTGCTCCAGGCTCTGGATGTCTTGACTGTGTATATGGCATTATGAAACCTGAAGACTACCAACAAATTCTGGGGTGCAATGTAGTGCCCAGTGTCAGAAAGTTGAGTCTGAGAACACCAAAGAATCTGGAATTGCAGCAATTTTCTGGGAGAAGTGGTGTGTTGTCTGACAGAAATGCAGCGGTACCAATATTTTTGGCCATGACTGTAGCTGTGGGTGATACAAGTGTTTGTTTCCTTCTTCAGATGGTGTGTGAACGTTCAGATGTGTTTGCGTCCTCCTGTGCCATTGCCAGGGCCTTCCCCAATTTCTCTCGCCGCTCCACATCCTCACGCAGGACTGAGAAAAAGCATGTCACTGTAGAGTTTGTGATCATTGGGCAAGACAGCAGCCCTCTGGATGCTGCAGAACTTGAGGTACTGGCCTGTGATTTGTTATTTTTGCACAGCATGTCAGAACATTTATCTCGACAGACTGCCTTAGCTGAAGGCTTTTCTTGTCTGCAGTGTCTTTCCAACGCTGCTGATGGGGTCCGGCTGGCAGCTCGCATTGTGGACACACCATGTAATGAGATGAATACAGATCACTTCTTAGATGTAAGTGAAACTGCTTCTTATTTGTTGACATTGCTACAGGAATCATAACTTCCCTGTGGATCTCTGTCACATTCATTAACTTCTGTCTTAGGAAATCAAGGCTGTGGGAACTGAACTTGGAATTACTCCGGTGATCATTCGTGGAGAAGAACTGAAACAAAGAGGGTTCGGAGGTACCGTATGTGTAGGCACATTTCCATGACATCTTTTAGTGTCAGTTTCATTTAATCTTTTACAAAATATTGAACTCATCTTTGAAAGTGCATGTTTGTATGTCTCTCTTCATCTAAGAGATGCTCAGGCTGGTTTTTGGTAGTTGGGATTATCGACCTGTTCTGGTCGTCTTGTTGATCTGTCTCTTCACCCTGTCAGGTATCTACGGAGTTGGAAAGGCAGCAGAACATCCTCCTGCATTAGCAGTCTTGAGCCACACGCCCGATGGTGCAACCCAAACCATTGCATGGGTGGGCAAGGGCATTGTGTACGATACTGGAGGACTCAGCATCAAGGGAAAGGTGTTGCTGTTTTATCTCTTTGTTGTGCTAATGGCTCCGGAGCATCACTACAGTAATCATCTGGTTCAGTTGTTTGAACCTGCATGTTACTGTCTCAAGGGCTGTTTTGGCTCTGCATTGAGTATGCTTATCTAAAATATCAGATCTGATTTTGGATGCAGATATGTGGGAATTTAAGATTTGTTACAGATGTTTATGAAACAGCTAGCAGTATTTTTCAACCAGTTCTTTATTAGTTTGTGTGGATATCTGCTACAACACTCCAAAAACATCCTGCACTCCCAAAGTATGGTGTATTTCAAAACAGCCCGTTTGCCCATCTGTAGTACCACAACATTGCAAACATTTGACCGTGTGTGCGTTTTGTGTTCACTTTACACCTTTTTCTGATTTCTGCCTTCAAAAACCCAGCAACTCTCTAGTGATCTTGGTGATCCTGGAATTTACACACTTGGACACCCCCGATCTGTTAGATTAAGCTTTAAGCCTATTCTCAGTAATCTATTCAGTTAGGTACACCAGTTTATGTTGTGTCGTATGCAAATAGAAAGATAGAGCTCATATTCTACAGGGACAGGTTTCACAAACAAGCCGGTAAAGCTTTTCTGTTCTAACTATATAGGTGACTATTGTTCTTGGTGCATGTAGAGGTGTCAACATTCGATTGATATCAAAGATAAATTGAGTCATTACCTGGTTTATCACACATAAATGTTCTTTTTTTTCTAGACCACAATGCCAGGGATGAAGAGAGACTGTGGTGGAGCTGCTGCCATTTTGGGGGCTTTTAGAGCTACTGTTAAACAGGTGATCTTACAACAGCTGTCATTTAGCTTCCTTTGT